GTGTTGTCGGCGCGCTTTTGACATAGCAGTTTTAGCGCCGCGGTGTTGTCGGCGCGCTTTTGACGTTTGCGGTTATGTCGTGCCACGTATTTACCAATGCAAGATTAATTACATGAATTAGATAATTATTTGGATAAACAATAATTTGATTTTAAGTTAATTCCTAGTGTTATAGCAGGAGCGAATTGTAGCTGATACCCAGTTTAGTATAATTCCAAGTGTTTATAAGGGTCATCGGAAGGAGTACATCATTTTGGGGATAACAAAAATGCTGTTATAGACAGAACCTAATTCTTGAGTAACGAATCCAGATCCTGTCATACTTGAAGATACTCCTTTTAAAATGGAAGCTTTGTTAGTGTGGTTGATGTGATAATTTCAAGCAAAAATATATATGTTATAGTGAATTCTTTGTCTGATATATAGCTATAGGTACTACAAGCTGTCTAGAAAAGTTGGTGATAGCACTGAGAGGAGGCAATAGTTATGACATAGGAAAAACACCTGAGAAGTCAAGTTTAGGCTGCTAGGTAGTAAGACAGGTATCAAAGAGCACCAAAATAACATTCTCAAAAATGCTCCGTTGGCAGGAGTAGAGTAATTCAGGTCGTAAATGCAAATATTAGATGTCACAACACCCATTTGGATTCACCTAACAACAGCAACTGGAACTGCCAGAACTGCAGCCATAAGTTGGTGTGGTCATGTGATGTTTTGATTTATGATAGCGTGGCTTAGCAACTAAGTTCCTGGTCCAAGTTATTATAGTTAACTGAAAACTACCTTTTAGAGCAGGGTCTCCAACCTTGGCAACTTTAAGGCTTGTGGATTTCAATTTCCAGATGAGGAACTCTGGGAATTGAAGTCCACAAGTCTTAAAGTTGCCAAGGTTGGAGACCCCTATTTTAGAAGGTCTCCAAGCCTTGTCTAAGTAAACCCATCACCTTCCCATTTCAAACACAGTTGATCTAAAAAGTTGCCATTTTAAAAACCCACCTCCATATCCTTTTTAAGTGTAAATGTGGACAGTTTTGCTATTTATTACAAACAGACAGACACTGTAAGATAGGTATATATACTGTAGATAAACATCATAAATTTGATCAATTGACACTTTTCTTCTTTGCTTTTTTCTAGTTTGTGTTTGCTACATTTTGGAGTATATACCTCTATGATCGGAACCTTGTTTACCCAAAATATCTGGATTCAATTGTTCCTGAATGGATTAATCATGGAATGGTGAGTAAAAAAAACAAAGCTGAACATAACAAGAACAGTCAGAATAAGCATATTATCCCAGCTAATTATTCAGATTTAGGTTCATTTGTTTTCAATAGTCAGTCACACACTTAATCTGTTATAAAAAGTTAACGAGAAGAGCTTTAAATTGGCAGAATCGTGGCCAGACATCACAATTTTTCATTTCATCTTCTCTCTTTAACTTTTCATACTATTATATGTGAAAAGTGGGAGTGCGAATTGCCAAAGAAGCCTTGAAGGAAATGTAAGTGGAATTCATCCTTGCCAAATGTAGAGTAAATCAATGGAAAGATGTGAATTCATTACATGAGGGCAGAGATAACTTTTCTAGGTTTTATTCTGCAGTTCCTACAGAAAAGGCTTGGCTGTCAACCGTACGTATATAAATTGAGAAAGACTGGGAATACAGATAATTATTTATAAATAATTTGGGAAGGAATGAAACAGTCTAAAATCCATAGTATAAGTGTTGCCAACTAAGGTTTGTAGCAGCATCAAATGAGAATACTAAATGATTAAGTATACTAATCATTTATGAAAACTGATGCTAACAGTTATATGTATCTTGTATTCTAGATTCAGTGTTTTAATTGGTATGCTATTAAGCAAAGCCAACCAAGAACAATATGTAGACACATTTTTGTCTGGTCAAGGGCAACAATGCTTCCAGCGAAATAGGGGTGTGCTTTACTAACAGTCCTTGGAGGGTCAGTGTTAGGAAAGATTGATATGATCTTAAGTCATAACAGTCAATCCAACAAAGAGAATCATATCTGGAGTTTTAAAATCTTCCCTGGCATGGCTACTGGCTATAGATTTTCAACTCAGGATGATGGGATCAAATGACAGGAATATCTGGCATGGGTTCACCGACAAATGCGCGCTCGACAAAAGCGCGCCAACGAAACCGCGGGGAGAAAAGCGTGAGTTCGAAATTGCGCCAACGAATGAGCACAGAAGCGTGCCAACAACAGTGCGCCGACAGAAGCGCACTCTAAACCTAACCCTAATGGTAACCCTAAATCTAACCCTAACCCTGAACCTAACCCTAAACCTAACCCTTACCTTAACCGTAATCACGCTTCTGTCGGCGCGCCTTTGTGGGCGCGCTGTCGATGTCGCGGTTTTATCGCCACGGTTTTGTCAGCGCGCTGTTGGGCGCGCATTTGTCGGGTCACGTCTGCCATGAACCCCTCTCTCCAGTTTATAACATGCCAGCGTATACAAATGTATACCATGTATACAAAATGTATAACACTTTCCAACATTAATTTCCATCATTCACACAGCCGGAAATTTGGCTCTGAGGAAGATGATCAGTAAGAATGGATAGAAAACTAAATTCTACATTTCGACTTCTGAACTGGACTGGTCTGGGCCCGTTGTAGCTTTAGCAGTTTTAATAGGAATGTACTTCGGCAATTGAAGTATTAGACTGGCGCTGATATTAGAATGAATTTAAATCACTTAGTCTGGAAGCTTACTTGTTTAATGGGGATAATAATCATTTTCTCAAAGATTTGAGGGGTTATGATCACGAAGAGAAATTATTTACATGCCTCAGGATATAAATGTAAGAAATAATAAAATAATCTTTAAGCTGGTTTAGTTACGCACAGGCTGGAGTAACATTAAATTGTTCGGTAGGGTGGGCTGAAGAGTGGAAATAATACCACTGAAAACTTGCAGATTCTATGGCCTAAGTCTTGTGTATTCTGATACTGGAAGTTACTGCTATTGTACCAGTATTGCTGGTAATCTTTTTAATTACNTGTCCAGGGTCCTCCACATCCTCCAGAGCCGACTCATAGGGCCCCTCGCTGTCGGAGTCTGGTGGCAGCTCCAATGGCTCCTGCTGGGCCACAACTGATCCTTTTGCAACCTTTTGACAAGCAAAGGCAACGGGGAAGCCAGTTTCACTTAACAACCTTGTTACTAGCTTAAAAACGGCACTTAATAAATGTGGCAGGAAAAGTCACTTTATGGGACAAAACTCAGTTAACAAATGCCTTACATAGCAACATAAATTTTGCCCTCAATTGTGGTCGTCAGCTGAAAACTACCTGTACAGATAAAAAATAGATCTAACCAGGGGTGAAATCCTCTGAAGTCTGCTACCGTTTTGGTGAGTGCACGCACACGGGTGCTTTGCGCAGCGCTAAAAAAGAAGCATTTTGAAGCCTTCCGAGTCTGCAAAGTAGAATAGTGCGCATAGGGGGGGGGGATCTGCTGTTCCACGTGATTTAGACAAAGCAGGAAATCCGACAATTCTAACTAATATAAATTGCGCGTCCCAGCTGATCATCGGAAATGCCAGTTTGCCTGAACAGGTAACATTTCACCCCTGGATCTAAGCCGTATCCTAGCCAAAAATGTCCACTTAACACCATAATCTGCTTTCCACCCCTTTTTTCCCCAAAATAAAAGTAGGAGAGAGCGCCTTCCGTTTCAACATGATTTCTGCAGAGAATTATGTAAACTTCCATGGTCAACACAAACTACAGTAATATCGCCCATAGACTTAACAAGCAGTGGTTACAAACAGCAGCGTCTTTTGACAACTGAGTGGTAGGCATGTGAGCAAAGTTATGCCTTTGCTCTTGACAGAACACGATGCGCCCCAGTGAAGTGGCCCGAACTAAAATTACACTTTGAAGTTCGGCAGGCATCTCTATTTGCATGCAAGATTCCATGAACATGAGAACATTGAAGTGATGTGCGGTAATTGCCAGAAGCAAACATTCATGTATAGGCACTTTGCCTCCCCCTTGCATAGCTTAAGACAAACCACACTTGAAACAAGGGAGATGGCTGAACTCTTTACTCCTGGAGTACATGAAAATCAACCCCTTCCCTACGGTTGAACAACCGAGTAGCAAACACCATCTGTATCCTTTTTCCGTTCATAAAGGCAGCCTTTGTTTCCCACTCGGAGAGAAAGCTAGTGGTAGTTGTCTCGCTACTCCACTGGATTGTTCATCATGACCATCATTCTGCTCCTGGTGAACGGGTGAAGTTTTTATTACCTTCGTTCTTGTACTTTTGTCTTGCGTTTGTCCAATCAGACTTGAGAGGAAACCTACTCCTTATATTGCATTGATCATCCTCGTGGCAATTGTCCTTGGCGTGGAGACAAAAAAATCATTCTAACCAGAATGTTTTACGGAACTCGTAAGTTACAATGTGGATAAGAATGGGAAAATATATATATATTTTTTAAAGACAGGACACAAATATATTGCACCCAGATGAATTTACATTTGCTTCCTGCGAAAGGGAACAAAGATGGTAAACTGGTTTGACAAGCACAGAGACCCATGAAATTTTATTTCGGAATCACTCACCCACATGGACACACACAGAGCTTCAGCAGCCCTGAGAAGTGACAGAGATGGATTCCTAGGATTTTCAGTTATGATGTATGCTCAAGAAGAATGTAATCGGAGTCTCTTGCTCCCTGTAATGCTACAAACCTACTTATACCAAGAATAGGAAAGCAAATTTCCTCATTATCTTCTTTCCTTTCAGAGTTGCTGAAATGCCTTCCACCTTTTCATCTTCTGACTCCCAGTGTGTTTTGCAATGAACCTTTCGATTGACAGGAAGTTCTTCTCTCATTGGGTGAGAAAGGGACAGAGCACAGAGATCCATCCCCTCTCCCAAGTCAGAATAGAGCTGGAAGGTTCCACCACAAAACCGCGGAGGACAAAATCGCGCTTGACGAAAGCGCGCATTTGACGTCATCACAGCGCGACGAAAACATCGCGCTGTGATCG